AATGTCCCTTCCTGTCCCCCTCAATGTCCCCCCAGTGTCCCTTCCTGTCCCCCTCAATGTCCCCTGCCTGTCCCCTCCTGTCCCCCCAGTGTCCCCTCCCTGTCCCCTCAAGGACAGGCTCCATCCAGGACCAGCAGCTCCTTTATTTGGGCCAGCACCTTGTCCCCACCCTGCTGTCCCCACTGTCCCCATGTCCCCTACACGTCGCTCTCGGTGACAGTGCCACCCTCGGGGGGGTCACACCGGGGTGTCCCCTCCCCGTCCGGCCGCTCCAGCAGCTCCCGGGTGACGGTGGCCGTGTCCAGGGCCCGGTCCCCGCGGGTGTTGTCACCCTTGGGGACAGCCGGGGCCCTGACAATGTCCCACCACAGCACGCCCTGGGGACAGCGGCTCTGCCCTGCTGGGAGGGGACACGGTGACACCACAGGGGGACATGGGGACACGACAGGGACAGGGGGACAGGACAGGGTGACAAGGACAGGATGACAGGGATAGGTGACAGGAATAGGGAAGAGAAAGGTGACAGGGAGGGGTGACAGGGTGACGGTGACAGGGTGATGGTGACAAGGTGATGGTGACAGCGTGACAATGACAGGGTGTCAGGGTGACAGGGTGACGGTGACAGTGTGACAGTGACAGGGTGACGGTGACAGGGTGACAGTGTCAGGGTGAACAGGATGACGGTGACAGGGTGTCAGGGTGTCAGGGTGACAATGACAGAGTGACAATGACAGGGTGTCAGGGTGTCAGGGTGTCAGGGTGACAGTGTCAGGGTGACAGTGTCAGAGTGTCAGGGTGACGGTGTCAGGGTGTCAGGGTGTCAGGGTGTCAGTGTCAGGGTGACGGTGTCAGGGTGTTAGGGTGACAGTGTCAGGGTGACGGTGACAGGGTGTCAGGGTGACAGGGTGTCAGAGTGTCAGGGTGACAGTGTCAGGGTGTCAGGGTGACAGTGTCAGGGTGACGGTGTCAGGGTGTTAGGGTGACAGTGTCAGGGTGACAGGGTGTCAGGGTGACAGTGTGACAATGACAGGGTGTCAGGGTGTCAGGGTGACAGTGTCAGGGTGACAGGGTGACAGGGTGTCAGGGTGTCAGGGTGACGGTGTCAGGGTGACGGTGACAGGGTGTCAGGGTGACAGGGCGAGTGTCACCTGGCAGGAGGCTGAGCAGGACGCCTGTCCCCAGCGTGCCCAGGGTCCCCAGGGCTCCGTAGTACAGGTAGGACACGGAGTACAGCTCACCCAGGACAGCCGGGCTGTGGGGACAGCGGGGGTGGCACGGGGACACCGAGTGACGTCACGGGAGAGGGGACACCAAGTGACGTCACAGGGAATGGGGACACCACATGACGTCACGGGAGAGGGGACACTGAGTGACGTCACGGGAGAGGGGACAACAAGTGACGTCATGGGAGAGGGGACACCGAGTGACGTCACGGGAGAGGAGACACCAAGTGATGTCACAGCCACAGGGACACCGCGTGACATCACAGCCATGGGTACACCGCGTGACGTCACAGGCAATGGGGACACCACGTGACATCGTGGGAGAGGGGACACCGTGCGATATCACAGGGAGCGGGGGGGACACCACATGACGTCCTGGGAGAGGGGACACCGCGTGACATCACAGGGCATGGGGACACCACGTGACGTCATGGGAGAGGGGACACTGCGTGACGTCACAGGGCATGGGGACAGCAGTGTGATGTCATAACAAACAGGGACAGAGGTGTGACGTCACAGCCAGCGGGGACAGGGGTGTGACATCACAGGGGACAGGGACAGGGAGGTGCCACCCCAAGGGGACAGGGCCATCCCCGCTGTCCCCACCCCGCTCACCGCAGCGGCTCGGGGGCCAGGGCGGTGCCGTGGGTGGCGCTGGTGGCGCTGGTGACGTTGCGGGGGGGACACAGCGCCCCCGAGGTTGGCAGCACCCCCATGGTGGCCGCGCTGGGCGGGTACAGGGTGGCACCAATGGCCACCCACAGGGACAGCGACAGGCCCAGGGCCAGACCCGCCAGCACCCCCTGGGACAGCGACAGGGACAGGGACAGGGACAGGGACAGGGACAGGGACAGGGACAGGGATGGGGACAGGGACAGGGACAGGGACAGGGAC